GTACTGATATTCCTTTAACTCCACTTAAGATCCCTCGGTCTTGTTTAATATTTTCCAAGCCTCTAAGAAACCCAAAAGGCACCCATCTCTAGCGTGGGTTTGCAACGTTCTCAAAATTCCTCCAATTTAAAATGAGGGATATGAGCCGACATGACATGATGAACATTGCTAAATAATTGACAGGCTTTTGCCTAAATTTTCTAATTGAATATTCTGGAATAGATAGTATTTTTTTTTTCAATACTTACACTTCTGATAGCCCATGCACTATTTGTTGTTACAGTGCCATTAAAAACCGGTCGTTTTCTTGCGCTGGTTTTGGCAAGCAGGCTTGAATTTCGTTCTAAAGTTTTACAGCCGGAATTTTGTAATTATTGAAAAGTTCTTCTGCTGATCCCTGGCTATACCATTTGACAAATTAATTCTAACTAACAACGATTTTTTGATAAAGAGTCGTTCCTTCTGTATCGTTGCAATTTGGTTGTATTTTCTATTTTTGTAATAATTTACATTGAAACCCAGAAAACCAGAAGAATCATCAAAAATCGCTCGACTTTCTAATGATATCTTTACGTCTATATTCTGCTTACTTCAAACAGTAGGATCATTAAAGAGAAGATAATATTTTTTCGTCTTAATAAAATTAAGATGAAAGACCCCAAAAAGTACGTATTTTAAAAATGAAGTGCTAAAAAATCAAAAATCTCCCAAACATCTTTGGAAAGTAGTTACACAAATAATTTTAAAACTAAAAACGATCTGATACAAAAAATTGTGGTAGAAAATGGTTTAGAAGTTACTAAACCTTCTGATATAGCTGATTCTTTTTATGAATATTTTTCAAACATTGGTGTTAAATTGGCATCAAAAATTAATAAAATAAGTTGTAATTATCATTCTCCCCATTTTCAAAGGTCTTTCTTTCTAAGACCTACTACTGAAAAATAAATTATTAGTACTTGCTTATCTTTACAGAACAATAAATCTCCTGGTTCTGATGGTATAACAAATGAAACGCTTCAAGTAACCATTGAATATATTGCTAAACCCCTAACCCATATATTTAATTTATGTTTTCAAAATGGATTTGTCCCTAAACATTTTTTAATTGCCCATATCAAACCGTTTTTTTAAGGAGGCTAAAAAATGGAAATTAATAATTATCGGCCGATTTCACTACATCGGGTTTTTCTAAACTATTTGATGAAATTGTCAAAATTCGATTATATGATTACCTAGAACAAAAAAAACTTTCAAAAATCAATTTGGTTTTAGAGAAAAAATGGGAACAGAAATATACAAAGCAATAGATAATAAAAAATCATGCGTGGGTGTATTTATAGATCTACAAAAAGCTTTTGACACAGTAAGTCACAAATTATTAATTGACAAAATGGAACATCTTGGTATCAGAGTACTCCCTTAACACTTTTTAGAAATTTTTTAATGAACAGATATCAGCGTGATAAAATTAATGAATCACTTAGTGGAATAAGAACAGTGTCTTGCGGAGTTCCACAAGGCACTGTTCTTGGACCTATTCTTTTATATATTTGAATGACTTACTTGCTATTAAAACTTCAAGGCATATAATCTCTTTTGCTGATGATACGGTCCTTCTTTACTGTGGAAAAAATTGGGAGTTAGTCAAAAACAAAATTGAGGAAGATCTGAAAAAATCGAATTTGTTAACCCTAAATTTTCAAAAAAACTAAAGTCATTCCCTTCTGTACAAATGAAAGTACTCTTCCTAATTATAGAAGTATCACTTTGGAAAAGGACTAAATTCTTTCTTTTACAAAACACGTAAAATACCTTGACATTCTTGTTGATACCTTCCTTAGATGGGATGTTCACGCGGATAGTCTGAAAAAGAAAATGCCTTCATTAATTTACAAATTTTATCAATGCCGCTATATACTTACCATAGATAAAATGAAGATCATTTACTTTGCTCTTGTAGAATCATTACTAAATTATGGAATAATTGGTTGGGGTGGTTTAAGAAAAAATTTTGTGAAACCTATAGAAATAGTTCAAAAAAGAATTTTAAAAATAATGTCTTTTAAACCACACCGGTTTAGTTCTAACCAATTATTTCACGATATGCAAATCTAAGATATAAGAAGATTATTTGTCAAAACATCTCTGACTTTTGCAATAAAACATAATATTGTAACATCCACAATAATTGATCACAATTATTTGACAAGATCAATTATAGCAAATAATGTTTACTTACCTAGAGTGAATAAAGTCTTAGGTCAAAGATGTCACAAATAAACAAAAAAATAAAAAAATATAAAAAAAAAATTAAAAAAAATAAAAAATAAATAAAATACTAAAAACTAAATTCATTTAATAAAAAAATATAGATCAATTGAATTATGAATCAATGAACGGCTATACCATAGACAGGCCTGATGGGCCTAAATGTTTATTACTTGAGTTCATAAATTTAATATATTTTCTCTCATTGTAATTTTGTAACTTTATTTTGTAATAAACAATTTATTATTATTATGTATGTTTCAAGGAAATTACAATGTAAATATATCAAGGACAAGCGAAGGAAAATTAAGAGCATGCATTAAAAACGGATTGTATTTTAAAATAACATCATGAATTATACTGTTAATAGACAATAAAGCTTAGGGTGACCAGATTTTAACTCGGCAAAAACGGGAGACATGCTTTAACATATCTATAGATTGTTTTTGATGGGCATAAAAACTACATACATGTGAATTATAAAAAAACCTTTATTTTGAAATAGTTACGTTGGTACTTACTTTCTAATATATTTTTTTTTAATATTATTCAAACAATAAAAACAAGGTAGGTACGGTATCACAGGTATCATACATTGTAATTTTAACTCACAGAAAAATAAAATCATATCCTAACAAATAAACATTTTTAACTGGTAACTTAATTTAGTTATGAACTTGTATCTTATATGTATAGGTATATAAACATACCGTATTGTCACAGTCTAGGGCTTTTAAATTTTCGCCTTACCTAACAATTGGTTACAGTTCTTAGTAGTTAAAATTTTCAGTTAGTATAAAAAAATGTTTCTAAAAAAATCACCAAATATTAATAGAAATGTAGATTTTATTACCAATTCTAAATTAAATAAAAATAAACATATTTTAAGAATTAGTCTAAAAATATAATAAAACCTAAAAAAGCTGGTTAAAATTGTTCGTTAATGTTTTTAAAAAGTATATAGGTAACACGCCAATAAACCACTAAATCATACATTGTTTAGTATATAGAAATACATGATTGTAAAATAAGATGAAAACAGTTTCTTCAGATATGTAAACCACTGTAATTATTAATAGTGGTCCCGGCGAGTGTATTAGATGGCGCTGCGATTCTAATTTCGTATTCCAATTTCGACTGTTGTCGAATTGTGTATTTTTAACCAGAGGTAAACCACTCCCGAAATGACTGGTACGTTTTCACGCGAAATCGCTATATATTCTCTCAAAATAATCACCGAGATCACTTTTTTCTCTGAAATATAAATGCAACAAGTGGTGGTCTAAAAAAAGGGAGCAAGAAAAAAGTTGAACGGAAAACAAGTGAAGAATCCCAAAAAGGATCATTTGAATATTCAAGAACATTTGTATATCATTCATTGGAAATTATATATTATGATGATTTCGCCGAAATCATATAAAATTAAGGGGTATTTCGGCGAAATGACCGAAATCATATAGAATCATGGGTGATTTCACCGAAATCGTACAAATATTTGCCAATTTCCCAAATAAGGGTACGTTTAACCTTAGTAGTTTACTCCTCGATATTTAACGATACAAAAGTAATTTCAAAGACCAATTTTATGTTGATTACGTTTATTGAGGCATATTTTAAATATATTCAACAGTTTTCTTTGTATCCGTTATGGATATGTTATGATGTGACTGAAGACTAACGGCCATATGCACCATTCTTCTGTTAATAGTTATCAGAGAGTTAACTACATAACTGACTGTTAAATTGACAATTTTGTATTCACCATTACAAAATACGAGTAACAATCTGTTAAAGGCGTTGTTAATGTAACAAACCAAATTTGGCCTGTTAATTTTACTTATCAGACTATTTTAATTTTACTTGTTTATTTTGAAGGGCCATATAAGGTTTTATAGGATATGAACAGTAATATATACGTAACAGACTGATTTCTTACTGAAACTGGTAAATAGATGGTACATAGATGGTGCATAGCAAATTCTGTTAACACACTGTTATTTTTTATACTACTGTTAGATAACAGAGGACTTAGCTGGACAATGGTGCATATGGCCCTAAGTAACTACTTCGAAACGTACGTTAATAAATAAATGGGTAAGGCATAAATGACCTATTCTTTCTACCGCTTAATCCCTACAATTCACATATGGCTATCCTCACCTTTAATTAAATTTACAAAAAAAGACTGAAAAATAGGAGTTAAAAGTTCATATTTAATACGCACAAAAATCAATGTCAAGCTTTGTGGATAACCTGATAAATGTTCAAAAATAAGCTTAAAATACGGAGTCAGCTAAGAATGTTTATAAATGGTTTTCAAAGTATTAAAAACAACTAAAATATTCAACTTTTTGACCTAATAAAGCATCAATCTTGTATTCTTCAAAGTAAATCGTATGTATGTGGGAATACAAGCGGCCATTTTTAAAGGGACATAGTCACGTGTTCTAGACAGCCTAATTACGTTCTCGTGATTCACACAAGTTGTGAATATGTTTTTCTGATGTGTTTAAACACCAACAAAATCATTATCATAAATAGAAGTTGTCAGGAGTATTTAAAATAATTTAAGAACATAAACACGAGTTTAAGATTGTCTGTCCCTGAAAAATATTACCTAGTGTTGTGCAACTGGACGATTTATATGAAGATAATGTTCATAAAACTATTTCTGTACATTTTTATAAAAAGTGACAAACCTGGGATAACTTTTTTTTTATTGTTTACAGGTATATGGAGGAACGGGGTCTCCATTTGGCATTAGATGTAGCAACCAACTATATGTATGTAAAGTGAATGATGAAAATAGTATTATGATGGAAGTCAATACAACTGGACAATTACCGTTACCATTATATGGTCAGGCGCTTGTTTTCCACAATGACTACTTATATACAATTGGTGGTACTACTGGATTGTCCTACACTTGTGACATTCACAGGTAAAACTTATAATAAGCTTATGATGACTATTAAAATAAAAACTTCAAACATTGATGCACGTCTGATTCGTCAGGTACAGTATATTTGTTAATACACTAAAATGGAATGAAATTTATGGTGTAAAGAACACTAATATTATGTTTTACAAATTATTTGGTACTCACGGAGAATTGTGTCTATGAATTTAGCAGTCGTCAATATTAAATAATTTTATTTTGAGATAATCATTTTAGTCCGACATATCCAATATTTTTTTCACATAAAGCAAAACACCGCCTTTGAGAAAAATTATGGTCAGGTGTGGGCTTCACCCATCTCGCAAGCGAGTGAAATAATAGTGTACAACTACGAATCATTTTTTATACATTTTTTACAATTCTGGCGCTGACCCGACTGTCTAAAATGTGGATGTTTAAATTAAAGGCTCAATCAAATTAATACTATGTAGTTGACACGAAAAGCATAAATGTAATAAAATATTCTGATGACAGTATAATATTTAAATAATCAGCCGCCACCTATGGAATCTATTTAAAATTATTTTAAATGCCTTTATATTGGAGTGTAGCTGTATCTCTCTCTCTCTCTCTCTCTCTCTCTCTCTCTCTCTCTCTCTCTCTCTCTCTCTCTCTCTCTCTCTCTCTCTCTCTCTCTCTCTCTCTCTTTCTCTCGATTTTAGTTTCTCGTTCTGATTATCCTCTCTTCTTATATCTACTCTGCCTCAAGGATGTATTCACTGCAATTTGTATTTATAGTGTTTCTCGTCTTCTGGCTTCACCTATTGTGAAGTGGAAGTCGTGGTAAATAAAATAAAGGCTAATAAACTAAACATTTCATGTTGATATCGCTTTTCGTTTTTAATTTAGGATTTTTTTTTAATTTCAACCCATCTTAACCCCCTATTTAGGCTTTGTCCCCTTATAGAACTTGGTTTTTTTTTGCTTAAAATTTTCAAGTTGATATTTTTCATTTTTGACTTATCATGCAGAAAAAAACCGTGTCATCGGACAAAGTAAACCTATAATACTATTCACAGTCTACTGTGTGAAGAGTAGAATAATAATAATATAATCAAGGCTAAAACAATAACGTAATAGCCTAAAAAATAGGTACACTAAAAGAATGATAAAGTCAAAGTATTGAAAATTATTTAATAGATTTATCAGTACTTCGGAGATAAACTGTGCCATGTCATTCTAGTCAGTTTTTAGTAGAGCAGATTGAATGTTGGTTGAACACTTTTCGTGTTCCATATTTACATATAATAATTATATTTCGACAAGAAATTCAATTGGCCCCAATTATTGTCGCAATATGTATTGTTTACTAATAATCTAACTATTAAAACTTTTAATACACATGAAATGTTGGTTCTTGTAACATATTTCTATGTTCTGATAACAAATTTTCTGACATACCTAATGTCTTATACCTCCACATGCCTCTATAAATAGTACGACTCACGTGAGAGTTAAATAGTGTTGTTTAACGTTTAACTTGTAAGTTTATTAAACATTGAACATAGTGTTGTTTTTTTTTAAGTCAACTTATATTGTGACATCACTATACATGATATAGAATACCCCTGAAAAGTTCCCGATAAGACGATTTTAAAAATATAACCTTTATAAAACATAGCATTAAGTCGACATAGTTTACCTCCCAGATAGATATCGGTAAATATTTAATTAAGTCTTCATTATATAGGTACATACCTAACATAGACACATCGATTAAGTTTCTTGAATTAATTTAGGCCAGTGCAATATTTATATATATTTATTTTATATCGTCTTTAAAAAAAACTGTAATGTAAGTTTATAAAATCCTCAGTGCTATATCAGTCTGACACTGTTTATCAGTACCTCTGGCATTTATAGATAGGGCATTTTTCTATAACTTCAAGGGACAACCTACAAAATAAACAATTATTCATATAAAATTGTACTATGGTCAAGAAATGATCCTTGTTTAAGGGTCGATCTCTTCACCTTTAAGTAAAGTTACATATAAGTTTACTTGACAGATTAACAAACAGTAGCCCTATAGTTTAATCAGCAAGTAGTCACTTTCAACTTTACTCAGAGGTGAAAAGACTGGCCCTTAATAAAATATATAATAAAATTGTTATACTTTTTTGAAACTTCGTTTGTTTTTTGTTTGAAACAAAAAAATTTGCTCAATGCATAATTGGATATAAAATACGTGACTATTCTGTAGACTCTGCAACAAAAAACAAAATAATTACAACTGTAATTTTAAAATAAACATAACCTCAAAAATAATAGGAATTGACACACATACTTCCGATTTATTAAAGTCGCAGTTTTATTTAAACTAAATTTTTAATAGAATACACAGTTACAATTGTCTTATGTTGATTTTTAGAATTTGATAGCTTAATTGGAAAAAGTTGGAAACGTTGAGAAGATAGACTATAAAGTAGGTAGAGACGAAATGAAGACTATTTTGTGATATGACAAGTGGCGGCACTATGAGTCATATTTTGATTAATTTTAAGTTAATAATTTTTATTTGAAGATTGACGGAATGAAAATGTTTTTATATCATTTAAATCACGCTATTTAAAAAAAAAAATGCCATTTATTATAACCAAAACTGTCTAACTCGAGTTTGACATATGTCATAAAAGAGTAATACAAAAGTGCATCAATAGGCGAGTTCGGATAGTCAGGGGCTGGAGCGGGACAAATTTTAGGGTGCTTTTAAATGACATTTAAGCGTGTTAAACTGTCACTAATCGGACTAAACCGAACGCTAAAAGGGTCGTTTGGAGTTAAAAGTGTTAAAGGAGTTAAAGGAACTTGGCAGACCGAACGCAATGAATATAGGTTTGTTCTAACCAAGAGTTTTGTACCATTTCGAAACAATATACGGCATCGTTCAACAAGCTTGTTATGCGCAAACGCTAACCTGGCACTGTCTTGTAGATGGGATCACACTCTACCGGGATGGAACGAATTTATGTACCACTTTCAGTATCGTACTATGCTGTTTGACAATTTCAGTTGGCGGGAAGTAAGAATTACCTAAATAGTTATCATTTTTTACTCTATCTTCATTTAGAGCAAGTTCTAAATCGTCCTAACTAGACGATAAGTCTGAGTGAAAATCATCACCTTCATCTCTTATAATTAAATTAGGTACTATCCAAGAACAAACATAATTAAGCAGAAAATCTGAAAAACAATTTAATTGAAAAACGTAAACACCACTAAGTATTAAACGTCAAATCCAAACAAAAAAGACGGGCCTTGCTCGTTTCAGTGTACGCAGTGCGCATGTCAACCCAAGCGATACAAACTTTTAGTTTAGAAACCGATTCCTGAACGGTTCCATGTTTAGTTGGAACGCTAACCGGACGGTACAATGAATCGTCAATTTTCGGATGGAACGGATTTTATTTACTGCGCATGACGATGACCGTACGATGTTCGGTATTCTGTTTGGTTGGAACAAACCTAATATCTATGATTTGAAAGATTCACATGCCCCGCCCTTCTTTGTGACGTCACTGGGTGTGTTGAGCAAATTAGGATGATTCAAGTGATTTTGTGATTGTTTTACTACGTTTCAGGGATCTGTTATCGTGTGGCATCTCTTTTTAGCTAAAGATTTTCAAGACGCTTCTCACTTCTTCGGGCTCTCACTTATAGACACGAGATTAGCCAGAGCGCAGTGGCGTACTCAAAAATAAATATTAACACGTATGAAAACAATAAAATTATTAAAATTGAATTAATATTTTTATGTTATTTATTTTAAAATAATGTGTTTTTTTTTGAAATGTTACTGGGTGTTCACTACACAAATGAACCAATGGAGAAACTGCCCCAGTTCGTGACTGGATTCGGGAATTATCTCTATGAAGAATCTTATAAGCTAGAGAAACCAGTCGAAGAACCGTTGAAATTAGATAAATTTTTTCAGGTATAGGCAAAAATTCAATCCGTTGTGATTTTTGAGTGCTTTTGTCGTAAATTGTTAACGCAACAACTATGGTTAGAAAAATTAGATTGTGATCAATCTGTTTCTCTAGATATTCACATTCAATAGTGGTATTTTAAAGATCAACTTCATCAGCTGAATCAGCCAAATTATTATCAAAATTACAGAAAAGGTTGAAATAAACGGTTTTTCAGATGCCAGTAATCTGCGTACGGTGCTGCAAGTTATATTCGTAGTATTGCTCAAAATGGTGAAATCGCGGTAAATCTACTGTGTGCAAAGACAAGTAGCATTTTTAATGAAAGTCTAGAACTCTGGAGAACTTATTCAGTTGCAACTATCAAAGAAGGTCATAGATACACTTGATGGACCTTCTAATATCTATTTATAGACAGATTCAATCATTGTTTTGGGATGGATCAAAACGTCGTCGCATCTTCTCAAAACGTTTTTAGGAAATAGAGTTTCTTAAATTCATTCTAATTCAAAGGCTGAATGTCGGTACAAAGGACATTCCTGCTGATTTAGTGTCAGGAGGAATTGCTCCGACCCTTCTCGAATCGTCAACTCTTTAGTGGCAGGGACCTCCGTTCTTAATGGAATCATATTCAAATTGGCTCAATTTCAATGGTCATGATAAGCCTCAAAATGAATTGCCCGAGCTCAAGAAAAAGGTTCAGTGTAATATTTCTGCTTTAACTTGTAGACGTTTTCGTTTTCTCTCTAAAACTGATGTTAGGGTTCTTAGATCCTTTGTCCCTCTTACAACTGAAGAACTTCAGAATTCTATTACTAGCCAAAATCGACCGAGTAAAAGGAAAAGTAAACCACCTGGAAATTTAGACAAGTTATAATCGAACTTCGGTTTCCGTTTAAGGACGTCTCAGCCAAGTCCGACTCAGCTGAGATATGTTTATAAATACGGGCCTAAGAGTTCGCAATCTTTATTTAATCATTGAGTTTTATATCGATTAAACCGCCTCTTCTTTTTTCCTTCTATTTCAGTAATTCGGTGTTGCCGTATTTATTATTTTTTTTAGACTATAAAGGTAATTGTATTACTATAAAATAAACATATATAAATTCAATAAACACTTCCAAATATGTTTATTGTGTGTTCTTCATACAAAATGAGTCAAAAAATTATCTTTTCAAATACCTCTCGCCCTTTTAACTTTTGTCATTAAATTTTGAGTTTTCATACTTTATTTCAGGCAAAACCAAATAAAGACGTTTTTGTGAAAAAAAAAATGTAATCAATAAAATTTAAAGGACTCTAGGTTTTACCCTTGATTATTCTCTTCTCTCGCTCAAATCAAAATGGATTAGATATGATCGAGGTATTTTACTACCACTGTAACGTCTAACAAAATAAAATTACGCTATTGAACGACTTTGTCAATATTTTACCAAAGAGAAACCAAATAGTACAACTTTGAAGACAAACAAAACGGATAAAATCTCTTTTTTTAGGTTAAATATGAAAACTATGAACTGGGAAATTGTATATTTATGTAATGGATTAAGCGAATATGAACCAAAGGGTCGATACAGACATGAAGTTGGCTTTGATGGAAGAAATATATATGTCTTAGGAGGAGGAACCACAGAAGAGGCATATGGTTTTCAACATATACCCTCGTTTGATGTAGAAAAAAATATTTGGTACAGGCAGAAAACAGTACGAGATGTTAACAGAGGTTAGTAAAATCTTAACATTTAACAAGAATACTCATTGACCTTTATTGTTTTTTTTTAAGTTATGTTTGAATATTTCCACATCAAGAGAATATAATCTACACGATTAGTGAAATATTCGTCTATTGTAAACGTTACCCACTTTATAATAACTTGGGTAATTTTACAATCATCTGTAAAGTTGTGAGGGTGAGCTAAGCTCCTCAACAACTTAGGCTTATGCATTATCCTTGAGTGGCCTAATCTTAGCTCAGCCAGTCTTCCTTTTTAAAGTAGTTGTTGGCGTCGTATACAGAGTATGTGGAAATTATAAACAAATATTTAAGTGGGTGATCCTAGAGCCTTTTAAAGGATAATCCCTGAAGATGGTTTTTGATCAATGTTATCGAAACATTTTGAGATAAAGTAATGAAATGTTTAATCACTCAACTATTCTTGCTAAAATCGAAAATTTGAATGAAATTTTAAAATTTATTTATTTGAGCCTTTTTTGTTTCTTATTATTTTTGCAATTTCACTACAGAAATTGAAAATTATGTAATAATTAATGTTGGCATGAATATTCTATTTTATCAATGAATAGCTACATCTCCTGTTATCTCTGGGCAATCCGAATTACGTGACTTTAAATGGTGAGCGCTTGGCAAAAACAACAAAAGGGAGTGTTTAGTGACAGAAACACTTCTAGTGAGATTATTATAGTTTATTTGAAAATGCATGATAACAACAAACAGAATTGACAGAGGTTCAAGGTCAACTTTATAATTTTTGAAACGAAAAAGCATTCTCTATTCGCGCTTTTATGGTTATCCATTATGACTCTAAGGGTCGGTTTTTCAATGTCCAGTCAAAGTGGCTGTTACGTAGCCGACAGCTATATCGTAGCTGGCAGTCAAAGTCCCTGTTACCGATGGAACATGGATGGAAGTGTTTTTCATCACGAATTTAACTGCTAGCTACGTAGTCTAATAGTTTTTATTTATTCTTAGGCAGGTTGGCATTTCTGCTAATTTGTTAAATGGTTTTTATTGGATAATTTAAATTTTCTGCTTTACATATCGTGTCTTGTGTTGATCGTCACCGACCTTCACATAAAAATTGTTCTATTTTGCTTCCATTTTTCTTTAAGATCTTGTTATTTTCTGTTTTTGGGCAATTGGTGATTTAGAAAAAAGAAAATATCTAATTACGCGGCATCAGATAGAGCCCTACTATTGAAATTTGCTTATCTTACAGAATGTAAAAAAAAAACGGAAAATGCAATATCACGGAAACGAAATGAGAAGGTTGCAGAAAAATTTTATAATAAAATTCTTTTCATCAATATCAAAATAATTGAGCCGTTCCCTTACAATACACGGATTACACGGTCATCTTGGCTCATATTAAATAATTTCTTTGTCATCGTTGCTGTGAATGTATTCAAATAAATCCATTTTTGAGAAATAATAACATTAATAAAAATATTAACCTCTAAATTTGACAAACAACGTCCTACGCATGTACAATAAATAGGTCTTTTCCTTTGCATCGAAAGTGTAGCACTGGGCTACACCAATTCTGAAAATATCGTTCCATATATACAAATTGTATGGATGGAACGATATTTTCAGAAGTGACGTAGCTCAGTGCTACACTTTCGATACAAAGGAAAAGACCTAAATAGCTGGCGGCTATCTATACGAAATTACCACTTGCAAGTGTCGGTTACGGTTACAGTCAAAATAGCTGACGGCTATCGTATAACTGGAGGTCGAAAAACGTTTTGACAGTCAGTGGCTGACGGCTATCTCCGTAGCTGCCAGCTATCCTAAATAGCCTAAATATCCTAAATAACCGGACCTAAGGCGCGTATTTATAAACAGAACTTACCTGAGTTGGACTTGGGTAAGTCGTCCTTGAAGTAAAATTGAAGTTCGGTTACAACGTCTGTAAAGTTCTAGGTGGTTCTGGTGTTAGACTGGAATTTAGAGATGGATATTAGCAAATCTATAACTGTTACGTACATTTACGGATTTGTTACTACCCATCTTTAAATTCACGCGATATAATCGAACTTCGATTTTCGTTCAAGGACGACTTACCCAAGTACGACTCAGCTGACTTTTGTTTATAAATACCAGAGACAATCCAGCGAGACGTGTAACTCAATGTATTTTTTTTGTTCGGTAAAAGTTATTTGGGCGATTGTAACCACAACCAGTCTATGATGGCGCCACTAGTAAATAGCGGGAAAATTAAAAATGCTTTAGGGCGGGAAATTCAAACATGGATTCATAAATAAATAGTTTTTCTATACAAATTTACAGGAGAAACAAAAACTATTGTTTCACTGTATATTAAAAAAATATAAAAGCTTCCAATAACATCAAATTTTTTATCACATAAATAATCATTTTAATAAAGGAAGTTTTAATCAGTTTAATATAAACAGTGAACATAGTTTTTATTACTCTTGTAAATTTCACTAAAAAAAAACTTGAAAATTCTATTGATTATTAAATATTTAAACTTGGAAAAATAATACACCAAACTCTTTTTCTATACATTATATTTTTGTAAGGTACAGAAAAACAAACTACAATTGCTTCGTTAAGAAAGTACCTCGTATCATTTTGTGACAAATTACAAAGAAAGTAACAGTTGCTATATATTCATAATATATTTAAAAACTAATGTAACAAATATTTTATAAAGTATAGTATCGATACCTTTTTGCCAGACTATCATAAGTGCCATTTGAACAAATGTCACTTATGTTAGTCTGGCAAAAAGGTATGGATATGTTATGACTGTTTATTTTAATAGAAACCATGGAAACGAAACACACATACACTCAACACAAATGTATAAGGCCCGAGTCAAGTAAGTTCCCATCCTGTAAACTGGATCGAAACCTGCTAGACCCCTGCTAACTCCTCTTATAGTAATCAAGATCAATAGATTTATATGCCATGCCTTCTAAAAGGGAATGAAGGATGACATACTATCATCATTTAAACAGGACGTTGCTGAAGGCTTACCCCTGTTATTTCGTTTGTTTGTGTATCTTGTGTGTGTGCATTCCTGTTGTGTCCCCAGTCATGTAAAAGTTTTCCTAGTCTCCTAATTTGGTTACTAGGTGGACCTTCTCCAACTAGTAGTCTAATCTATTCGATCTGTTCAGAAGCAGGAGGTACTTTTCAAACATAGCAAATAATATTATTAATAATAAACACTATTTAAAGATAAATACATTTTTGTAATTGCCCCTTACCTTTCTCTTACACCACCAGGGTATACCTATTTTCCATATTCCCTTAATTATAGATTATCTTACAATGTTCGAATGAATATACATGAAAAATCTAATTTCATATTTAACTCTTTTTCAATTTCATTTGAAACAATAATTGGTACCTATATTACAATTTATTATCAAAGAAAATTTCTAATAAAGTTATAGCAAATCCTACTTAAACTACTGGTTGTTCTGCAGGATAAATTAACTTTTCTTGAGATTGATCTCTCTATAAAATCCAAAACCGACCTGATGTCCCCAAATTTATTTTCCAATGCATCCCGATTTAAAATTCTGCCCTTTTGTGATTCAATTTTTTTTTCCTTTAGAGTGGCTGTTAGAGGTAGGTGTATGTAAGAAATAGCTAATCTCTAATCATTTCAAAAGTCCTTTGCCAATACTACATGTGCAGATTTTTTACTCAGCATACATTTTACTTTTCTAGTAGATAGGAACTTTGTGCTGCCATTAAAGCTGTCCAGACATTCATCTACCTACTTAATGAACACAAGTAGCTGTAACAATGGATCTCTGTTCCAATTCACCTAAAATAATTATAGTCATTGTGTAATATTTTATTAAACACACACATTATACAGTGGTTTTCTTAATAAATTGGAAATTACTTACCTCTAGAAAGAAATGTGTACAAAAACGCGAGTTTGGTTCCAGAAATTGCTTCATGCAAAAAATAATATGCAAAAATAAACATTCCCCCCAAATAAAATTAATTAAACAACAAAATCAGACTAAAAGAAATATACGGGGCCCAAATTAAATTAATTTTAATAAAATGCACATGTTCATAACAACATTCATAACATTGTCAGTTGTCAGTTTTAATATTTTTAATCGATATTTCTACGTCAAAAAACCAGCAACACCAGCGCCCTCTGAAAATGGTGTTAGTTTTATTGGAGAGAGATAGATAGATATGTAAAAGAAAAAGAGGGTCATATATGTAATTTAAATGGACCACCGAACATATTTTCCTATTAAGTTACACGTCTCTGTTGTCTCTGTAAATACGGACCTTAAAGCAGTGAAGCGGTTGACAGTTCATCGTCACATCATTACAACGCGTTTGACGACGGTGAACATGGCCAAGAGAGTTGAAGTGATGCTATCATCGTAAAGGTTAACGTGAAAAATGGCAGCTGCGCATGCGCATTTAAATTATCATTCACGTTTACGTATTACAGGGTGAATCCTAAGTTGATATTTTGATATTTTTTAACTATGTATAGAAGTCGTTAAAATAAACATCTTTTTCAAATAACTTTTTGAAAAAAACTAAAGTAGATAAAGAATTAATAAATCTAAAACCGGGCCTGAATATTTATACGAAAAATTAAATGAATTAATAAGTCTGTCTATGTTTATCTGCTTTTTCGTTTTTTTACGAATATGAATCACGAATATTGTAATGTAGTTAGTAGGTCAGTAGTATGTTTATCTGTTCAGTAAGGAAAAATGTAATTTTTTTTTTACATTTCACCTTACTGAACAGATAAATATACTACTGACCTACTAACTACATTACAATTAAATAATGTCGGAGACTTGTTAGATAAGTGCACGGACGATTGTATCTCAGGTGGAATAAGTCAAAGAAAAGTGTGGACAACTGCGGGAAAATCAATTGTATCCCTTTCATGTTGAACTAGAACATTTCCCTCTCTGAGTTAATGTTGGTGAATGGTTCTTACAACGCATAAATGTAAACATATTTCGCCGAAAGTTATACAGTTGTACAGAACCGTATTGGATACACTTGGGAATTATGGTAAGTTTTTTATTTTTTAAGCTATTTGAAAAAGTTGTTTATTTTAGTGAATTCTATACACAGTTTAAAAAAATTATAAACTTGGAATTCACCCTACATAAGTAAACTTACGAGCTCTGATGTATGCACATCCACATACTTTAATCAAAGTATGTGATGCACATCACATAACGCTAACATTTAACCTATTTGTTTATTGGAAAAGAGGAAATTCTAATTGTCATTTTCTGTCATAACTGAAAATATTATTTATCTTTCCTCCATGAAAAATACCTTGGAAAAGAGCATTAAACAGAAAAATGGATTTCGATTTTCCGAAAATCTCGATTTAAATTTACTGAAAGTCTGAGTCCCCTATAAATTCAACTTAACAAATTGTTTCCATTCTAAACAACAATTTTTTTAAATACTTGTGAACCTAAAAAGGTATACCTAATTACTTTAATAGTTTATAGGTAGTAGAATTAATATTTTTTTACTCGTGTATTATGTAGATTCTGTATTTATATACACATATATTCTTATATTATGTAGATTCCGTATTTATACACACATGTACAAAAAATAATTTAACATATATTTTGATACATTTATAGGTTATTCTTTTTGATTCTTTTTCTTCTAATTTTTTCTCTTTTACTGTTCAACAATTCAGCGGCACGTAAATATCACGATACTTTTAACATCTTCAACTCACATTTTGGACTTCAAACGTAAACGTTATTTTGGTGCGTTTACGTCTACGTTGGCGTACTCAAAACACTTCAACTCTGTTTTATTAAAAAAAAAAGAACTAGACACTTATATATCAAATTCAATAACAGAATGGTTCGTTTTTGTTAAACGCAAATTACATTACACTAATATAGCGGTTATATATTTTCGGTTTATGAGTTATTCATGGAAAAATTGGTTGAAAGGCTTTTGAAAACTATCAGAGAACTAGTTAACTAGTGGGAAGTTAAAAAATTGTTCGCTACGAATAATTTATTATTCCAATTGTTGCACTGGATCTAGGCCTGTGTGCAGCAAATTTTTAGAGAGAACAAAAGTGGTCTCTCTAAAGGTGCGTATATGGAGTGTAGAGGTAAGGACAACTGTTTCTGTTTACAAATAGTGTCGCTCAAAATGTGTGCAATTAAGATGGCTTTACTGTACCAGAATGATGCCGAAAGTTGTGGGAGTCGTTAAAGTTGTAGTTATTTTAGTTGTTAATGTAGTACCTACTTGTATTTCTTATATATTTTATGGCAAATGTTAATTTTATTGACTAGACTTTATTGTTCTTTTTGAAATTAAACATTTGAAGAATTATATTTCAGTGAAAATAAAAATAGTTTATAAAAGTTGTTGTTCATTTGTAATTAATGAATCGTTCAAAATACTTTCAATTTTTGTTTGTTTTCCATCATAATTTCTACTTCAATTTTTTTGATGTTTTGTATTTGTCCCTTTTCACAAATCTTTTATTATTACAAATTTTTAAGCTATTGCATAGCTTTTATCGCGGGCTTTGAGCGGAATGTATTGTCAGATAATAAAAATATTTTAAACAATATTTATTCAATAAAAGAAAATCGAAAAATCGAAAAATCGAAAAATCGAAAAATCGAAAAATCGAAAAATTGACTAGCTGCTAACTGCTCATAACTGATTCTATCACTTTTAGACACAATTTCGGAAAAATTGAATTTGAAAATGAATAATAATCTGCGGTATTTTCCAGAAATCTAGAGGATATCAAGTCTCAAACTTATGTTTCTTATTTCAGTTACCATAAACCTATAGTTTCAATGATAAAAAATCCTGAATAACCTACATGTATTGTAAGATAATAAAAATATTTTAAACAATATTAACTTCTCATTTATTCAATAAAAGAAAATAATTTGTTTTCTTATCGGTCACCACGCTCAAAAAGTGTAACTTGAATCAATATTAAAGAAAAAAAAATACTGCATAAATAAAATAAATAAATAATTATAATTGCATAAGTTGATAAAAAAAATGCTATGCAATAGCTTTACCGCGGCAGTCCCCGAGTGCCACACGTATTTTTTATTGGAAGGAAGCTTATAAGTTAAAGTAGATATCACTTCAAAAAACGTCTTACTTCTGAACTTCATCGTACCAGAGATAATTTTATCATATGTACAATATAAATAGTCCAATAAATTGCAGATATTTTTTATTTTACGAATAATTATTTATACATTTTTCAAATCTCCAATTAATAAAATAACACATATCTATCTGTTTATTACTTAATATAGAAATTCGCTTTTCGTCGTCTGATTTACATATGCATGAGCAATCTATATAATTATTATACAGCCGAACAATCTAAAAACTTACAATGGACAAAATATGATATCAAAAAATGCTTAAAACTGTTTCCAGGATAGGAAGGGGGAACTAAAATTACATTTTTTATTGGTATTCAATGATGTATCGCAAGTAGGGGTTTGCTATTTAAACTTTTTTAGTTGGGTTAGGTGGGGCCTAGAAAAGATTTCAAGCATTTTTTTATATCATCTTTCGTTTGTGAGATAAAGCTCATTGTAAGTTTTTAAATTTTCACACCGTATATCATTGGATCAAACCCTTCCATTGAGATAGAATAAATAGATGATGCTATGACGATGCTAAAGTGTCCGCAGCTTTGCATTACACTTTTACGTCATTTGTCAAACTGGAGCTAGGGTAGCTAATCAGTTTTGGTGACAATAAATTCTGTTTTTTAAATAGCTTAATTTAAATGATATAAAATCATTTTCATTCCGTCAGTCTTCAAATATAAAATTATTGACTTCAAATAAATCAAAATACGACTCAATCCGCCATTGTGATAACATTTTTCCGTCACTCGAAGTGCGTCCATGTGTCATATCACAAAATAGTGTTTATTTCGTCTCTACTTTATTCTATCTCGATGCACCCTTCAAGAACACGAGCTCCATTTTGGCCACTTTCTGAAACCTTATTATTTACTGATTTTGGTGTATATTTCTTGAGATAAACAACCATATAAGATTGTCCTCCTTTCCTCTACACTCCATAGGCAAGTGTAAATATGGCGCCACATGCCAACGGGCCCGGTTCGTCAGATTTGTACGATGGTGTGGATATACCGCGCGATCCTATTTGTCGCGGCGCATGGTAAGCACGCAGCACCGTACAAATCTGACGGACTTGACTCGTTGTTTGGTCGACGCAGGCATGGCGCGCTATATTTATAAAAACTAGTAAGAATCACGCATGAAATCCTAAATCATTCCTCTTACCGTGTAATTTACATCTGCAGTTTTTGCCAGAAAAATTATTTATTTTTGTTTTGCAAAACTTGTCCTGAACTTTTTCACTATTTTTTGCATTATATAGGTTATCCCGAACCAAGGCGATGCCACGGAGCTGTTCAAATTAGCTACAATTCTAACATTCAAATATTCGTTACTGGAGGCCACGATGGTGAGAATATTTTCAACGATCTCTGGAGGTTAGATCTGCAAACATACCAATGGACTTATTTCAATCTATGTAGGTTACCACAACCGACATACTTTCACGCTACAGCTGTAACACCTGAAGGAAAATTGTACGTGTTTGGTGGAAATTTCAGCGTAGATGAGGATGTAAGAAGGAGCAATGCCGTATTTTCAACTTGGCTGTGTATTCCAAAATTGAGCGAAATATGTTGGGAATCTGTATTATATTATAGTCCAAACTTGCATAAACTTAAATCTCATGATTTAATTGATTTGGGATTACCCAGGAGGTTTCTGCAGAGGTTGGGCAGCAGTGACCAGTGATAATAAAAACCGGCAATAGTGAATCCGTTAATGGCGCCAGGAAACGATTAAGGTTTTAATAGTTAAAAACGTATATTTCATTGATTTTTATAGAATAAACGTTCGAAACTGAAGTAAGAGAGTGGAGCAAGAATGTTTTCGAGCCTTTGATTAAATTTTAATGAAGCGTGTTCTTTAAAAGTCAAGATTAAATCATTGATAAAAATATGTATTTGTTTTATTTCAAGAGGCATATATTCCTTTTTTGTATAATTTAACAACCGACATAATTATATCAAAATGTCAATAGTTAGAAATTGATAATTATGTCTCAATATTTTTCCAACCAACCTAATATACCTGTTTCTTCAAGAAGTTTTTCAGAATCGAATAATATACATTATTAAGAAGTAATAATGTTAAGAATTCAAATCAAGCTCTTTAGATCAAACAGTTCTGGTAGCTTTAGCCGATTGTTTCTACAAACCATCTTATCTTCCATTTTAGAGTATGTTAATACAGTGCTACTCAAAAGTCCCCTCCCCTTTCGTATATTTTGAATGGTTCTGCTTAGACAAATTGGTGACAATTATCGGTTGTAAGCTTCTCTACCAGTGGTAACTAGGGCTGATCGATTATTTAAAATAGTCAAATAATCGATTATTCGGTTATTTAATTAAAAGTTTATTTTTGCTTAATAGACTGTTTTCGATTAATCGAGATTTTTATCGAATATTTTCTATTGATAAAGCTATTTTCAAATAATTACATAGAAAATAGATTATTTTCGATTAATCGTTAAATTGATTATTTCTAAATAATCAGATGATCGATTATTAGATTAACCGATTTTAAATATTGATTTTTATTAATTTATTGATTCATAGTAAATATCTAATTCAATTACATTAAAAGGTCTGTTCCAACGGCACCAGAATTCTGCGCAGTAGATTATTGGTAGGGTTGCCACCTTTTTGAAAAGTGAATAAAGGACATTTCAAAAAAATCGGTGATAACAGACAACACAATGAGGCCAATGCTGTCAACTAATAAACCGATTTTAAAACAAAATTGATGAATGAACTGAAATTAAAAAAAAAAAATCAATATAATTAAAACGGTTTTATAAAATCCCTTAAATAAATAGTTCTTTTGTTTAGAATAATGAAGTGTGTTCAAAAAAACAGCACTGGGACTGTGTTTCTGGATGTGCGCGGCCCGCGCCCGTGCTGCTGCAAATAAGTTAATCTCGAAAAATGGTGATACTTATTGAAATGTAGTTTTTAAAAGGACATTTTAAGGTTTAAAAAGTCACAAGAACAATTTGTTTTAAAAACGGACTGTCGTCCTTTTCAAAAAAGGACTGCCATTTTCAAATAAGAACAGGTGGCAACTCTAATTATTAGGACCGCACCCAATAATCTACTGCGCAAAATCCTGGTGTTAGTGATTGATTTCTGATTGTTGTTGGAATAGGCCTAATAAGGAAATCTAACGATCGTTTTATAATATCAAATTAACGATAGGATGGGTGATTATCAAAATAAATAATCGAATATATATTTTTTTTTTTGAAAAATCGATTAATTGTTTATTTTTACCACCCATAGTCATAGATGATGTTACAGGGCCACTCTGATCAATAACTTTAAATGGGACCTTGTGGCAAGTGACATAAAATAAGAAAGAATCTAGTTTCTCAGGGATTGAACTGCCGATGTCTGAATAAGTTGTTAGTCACAGCTCTATGCACTGCGCTACAGAGCTCACATTCAATTGTTTCTTGATGTGTATATTTCAATTGGTTTTATTTGTATTTCTTCATGGAATCACTAATAACTAAAAAAAATATACCCAAGGCTCGATGCACATGTTCACACGAGATACAATTTGACGTGCTTCAAATTTTGTCCAAAGACGTGCGGCACTGAAATACATTTACATCTTATTTTTATAAACGATGGAATCACTGAACCATACCGTTATAATGGAACGCTATTACTAATACCAAAAAGTGAGATGTTTTGATTTCGCACATAACGTCACTTTAAGGTTAATACTCATGCGCAGTAAATAGCTGTCATAGCCGAGTAGCAGCACCCACATACTTTAATTTTCTTTTACTATACGGAGAATGGTCGCACTGCGCAGCTTTCTGAGTGCCTTTTAAAAGGAGATAGAAAACTCCGCCATTTTGAACCCTTATTACGTGTTGCCTACATCTTGGCGCAATATTTTTAATAGGTGCGTTTTAATCATCCGATTCTGCTTCGGAATTGTCGGTTTTCTTGTTTTAATCTGACAGGTTAGAACGACTGAACCGACAATTCCGGAAGCAGAAGCGGATGACTAAAACGCACCTGATATTTTCTTAGATAATATAATAGCAGATAGGCCACCACTGCATAAAGTTATACAATATTAATCTCGCTATCATATAATCAGTATCTCTCTTTCTAATGAAGGCTTTCTCACTCGTTTTAGAATTCTCAGCAGTAGCGTACCGTAAAACAATTTCGTTGGGTCATTTTAAATGCGAAAATGTTGACCAAATAGAATATAAAATAAAATGTTTTAAAAGGTAGGTAGGTGCATTTTTAATGAAGTGAAAACAAAATATGACTTTTTTGTTATGAATATAATATTAATAACAATTACTTTTAACACCACAACACGAACAAATTTAAATTAAACACTGGAATAATTGTCTGAGAAGAGCTCTGTAAAACTGACAAATACAAACAAAGAGATAGAGATATTAATCTATTTCTCTCTAATTAGAATTCTCGACCATATCATGGCGACACAAACATTGTTTACTGTCCTCTCTTTACTACTTACTTTGAGGATATTTTGCTTGCTGCTGTCAGTGTCAGTGAATGTTATTTTTGGAGTCACAGTTTATTGCTAAAGAATCAGTTAGCTCACTCGGACCAGTTGAAAGTTCCAAAATAACATCCACTCCAGGGATACAAATTCAGGATACGCAAAAGACTGCTGTTTTATTATAGGCGGTTGTCATATATTGTATTATCTGAGTTCCGCAGTGTATAAACTGGAACATTGAGATAAAAAGTGCCGATGCAGAGTGAGCGATCTGATTCTTTAGCTATAAACTGTGTCATAGGGTTCAAAATGGCCGCGCCCTATGTTGGGCGTGTCCACATACTTTGATTACTATACGGGGCAAGAGAGAGGTCTTCTGCGTATCCTGAATTTGTATCCCTGGAGTGGATGTTATTATGGAACTTTCAAATGGTCCGAGTGAGCTAACTGATTCTTTAGCAATAAACTGTGACTCCAAAAATAATATTCACTGACACTGACAGCAGCAAGCAAAGTATCAGGTGCGTTTTAATCATCCACTTCTGCTTCCGGAATTATCGGTTCAGTCGTTCTAACCTGTCAGATTAAAACAAGAAAACCGACAATTCCGAAGCAGAAGCGGATGATTAAAACGCACCTATTAAAAATATTGCGCCAAGATGTAGGCAACACGTAATAAGGGTTCAAAATGGCGGAGTTTTCTATCTCCTTTTAAAAGGCACTCAGAAAGCTGCGCAGTGCGACCATTCTCCATATAGTAAAAGAAAATCAAAGTATGTGGGCGTGTCGGACCTGTCTCTTGCCCCGTATATAGTAATCAAAGTATGTGAGCAGCACCATTATGTTATGGTCAGGGCCGGCTTTATTTTTGAAATTCATTTATACATTTTGAGGTACATCTAAAAGAAAGTTTTTCAAAATAGATAACCGTTTCAAATCTGAATTATTTTTCGAGGGATATAATAAACACGTTTTATACTCGGTTTTATATTTACAACAGTTAATAATTAACAACAATTAATAATTAAAAATAAATTATGAGGGAAAAAGAGAAAATCTCGAAGACCGTGTCACTCAAATAGCTGACCATTTCCCCTTTCAAAAACAACTACTCCCTTAGTTAATACCGCAACAGGCACACCCTAACTTTAATTTTGCATCCTAAGGAAGTCATACCTGGACCGGTTTCGTTCTTATTAGGAGTCATCAGCAAGCATTAGACTATCTCGACTTCAGTCTCTACCCAATAAACAGTGTATCGGCACCGTAACTGGGCCGAAGGAGATTTTCCGGACTCTGCCCGATATACGGGTAAGGCTTCGGCATATAGGTAGGGCATGTCCGCCCAGCCGAATGTCGGCAGCCCACTAAATTGTAGCCGCATTTATATTTCTATATATAATTCGGCCCGTAAGGATGCCTCCCATTCCCGGCTAGCCAAATATTGACCGCGTTGCGATGCTTCCCATGTCTGGAACGCCAAATACGGACCATATGCGGTTTCTACTTCTAAATTACATCAAATGGTACGGTCCTCCCCACAAAGCACGTATCTTCTAGAGACCCCACGCCAATGTTAAACTTTTAAACCAAATTGGCGCCACCTTGTGTTTGGAGCTGGAACTAAAATGACAATTGACAGATGGCGGTAAATTCAAATTGTAATTTTTAGGAGTAGGTAGTAGTTTTAAATTAAATTTTAAATGATTTCCACATAAATTATTTTATAAAATAAAGAATGGAACTAGTAAGTTCGAAACTTTTATTTTACAAAATAATTTAGGTCGATTATACCAAATTTGAGGAATTAATTTGTTATAAGCAGGGGTCTGATGTGAAGAGTTGGTTCTGCATATTATTATTAAATAAATATGAGATATATCAATAAACAATAAAATAGAACATTCTTAAAATATGTTTATTAATAACTTAAATAATATTATTAGATAAAAATAAATACAAATAATAATACATATTTAACGAATACTTACTTGCAGCAAATAGGTATATAATCTCAAATCTTTAAAATACCTATCAATAATTTAAATGTGAAGTAGAGACTAGGATATTACATTTTATTAACACTAAAATAATATATTTTATAAATGTCTTTTAAACCGAGGATAAATGTAATATAGGTGTTGTATTAAAAGGTGAATCCTTTTAACTATTCATTCAATGATAAATAGGTATTTTCCTTCCAAATACAGATGGTGGTATTACTCCACTGCTTTGTGTATTACTCTCTTATGTGAAAAATGATTTCGGAATCTAGTCCAGTGATAAATTGATTATCAATTAGTTGTTATACCCGTTTCTTTTTATGATGCAGATGCATGGTGAATCAATGAAGTTTTTCTCGAAGTTTTCAACGTAGCACCCACAGGTAGCACCAAAATTATTGCAAAACACAGTAGGTTATAA